TAACTATCGAATCCAAACGGAATTAGAATATTTTTAACCCTTCATAATGGATTAACTAAGTTAACCCTTCTCCTTATTCCCTCTTACTTAACCCTTTGCCAAACGCAACCGTAGAGACTTTGAACTAAGTCATTTGCTATGTTAGTGCTTTCTCGCTTTTTAGCTTAATTATTAATTGCTAATATTTCCATTAAAAAATCAATCTATTACTGAGTATGTCCATACGCCGCAATGATTCTAGAAATACTACACACAGTTGTACGTAGAGGTGCATGGTTCAGATATGGCTTAGATAAGATACTAATCATATCTATATTCACTTACTTATCTCGAATAGAGAGAAAAATATGTCTCGGTACGATACTTGTATCAGCTAAAACTGGACATCGACATATATGTCGATCTATATACATGCATATGTGTGGACATGAAACCGATCATTTGAGAAAATCAAATAATATTGAGAAAATGTAGTTATATATGATAAAACAAAGCTCATTAGTATGTATGTTATATCTAAAAATTTAAGATGGCCATCAAGTTTGAAATCTAATCCATTAATCTAATGATTAAAACTATTACAACCATGAGACCGGTATATAGATATTTAAGAACCCGTATATATTTGATATATTTCAGATACATTAACTTTGCACCCCAATTGCATGGGTAATGAGGTAGGTGTGGGAAAGAACAAAAGTCTATATTCTAGTGAAAGTATCAATATGCTTTTTTATTTTCTCTAATGCGACTTTTGAGAGTAAAAATATCGTTTTCTCAACCAATGTTGCCTATTAATATGTAAAGAATTGTGGTTTCATTTAGTATATCAACAAGTGTTTTGCCTATGATCGCACGGGTTGATGGTATATGTGGAAAAAGGAATATAGAGCGGAGAGCGAATTTTTTTTATTTATGCAAGACTTATAAAATTTTCAAATTGAAAGTCCTAGTTAAAGGTCTTCCTCTCCAAAAGAGAGTTTGCAAAATTTTTTACTCTGCAAACTTCTCACTCTCTAGTCCTATTTATAGTCTACTACAATCAACAAGAGTCATTGGGTTAGCCTTGAATTCTATGAAATAAATCTTAAGTATATATTATTTCTGTTACGAACCAAACGGTTGGTCAATCAGTTAGCCAACTGATACGCCAATTGATTGGTTTGTTGATTTGTTCCTAATAGATTTGATTTATTTATTAACTTATTGACCTGATTTTTTCTGATATTGAACTTTTATGGGCCGCTTCTTGGCTTAATCTTGGATTTCAATAAGCCGAAGAAAAATAAGATAATTTGATTATTTTGAGCTTTTATTCATTAATTATTCATTCCTGCAAATTGAGATAAAAGCTTGTTACTAGTAGATGTATTTATTCAAATAAAATTAATAATGACGGTATAAACGTGTAATAAGATGTAGCGATCAATTAATTTCACAAAAGCTCCTAAACTTTAGAGGATCTTGCACATAATTCCCCTTACCTTTTTTATATCATATAACTCCCTTGAACTTTGGGGTGTCTCACAAAACTCCTAGTAGTTTAACTTTATTTCACCTAAAACCTGATGCATGGACAACCCTTGCATGTAATTTCTAATTAACTAAAATTTTCTGGAAACAGAAAAAAATTTAAACTTTGTCATTTGTTATTTACAGACAACATACTCCCCCAAAAATTTAGAATTTTTTTCTCTCATGGAATTTTTACTTACTTGTAAATCACATAGAGTCCAAAACAATTACATATAGTCCAGTAAGAAAAGTTCAAAGTTCACGAAAACTTTGTGAAACACCCGAAGATCAAAAGATATTATGTAAGAAAACAAAGCTCATGAGAGTTACACGCAACGTCCCTACATATTTTACTTTATTTTTTGGTTTTTTTATTGGAGGGTGG